CTCTATGTTAACAGTTTTTTCAACAATCCATGTACATAGAACCATTCTAAGGTATTTTGCATATCTAGGAGGCATTGTGAAGAAAAACCTGGTGAGCTTTGCGTTTGTAGTGGGTATGATCTTGCACACGTTGGTCCACACTTTCTGCCCAAATGATCATGACATTTCTTAAAAGAGAACCCGCTCATTTCTTCACCGTATATATCTTTATAGAATTCTGTAATCTTCTCTTTTAGGGAACATTGTATGCAAGTGAGATTGTGTATGTTCCTGTTCGTTTGTCTTTGTCAAGATGACATATGCTCCAATGATTACCCTGGTTTTCGTCGTCACCGAGATACACTGAGCCATCATGTGATTTACCAACATTTAGAATAAATCTAAGACTGGATGGTCTTTGGCTGATCTGGCCGAAGTTTTCTTGCTACAAACTGGTTTATTTCTCTAACAAAATTTAGGTAGACACCCCTGAAGGGGGAATGAACAACGCATTTTCGACCAGATTTATTTGCATGAGCTGGCATGAGCTGCATTTGTTGGCATGAGCTGCAGTTGAAACAGCGATGTTACGGACACATTACCTTGATTAACAAAGTGTATTTTTTTTTGTGCGTTTCTTACTTGTGGGACGTAACATTCGAATGCATCTCCATGAGAAAACGACTTTATTGATTGCCAACTGAAGCATAGCGTTGGGGTTTTGTTTATCTTCGCTATGTATTCCTTTAATTAAACACAAGAATTTTATTTTACCCTGTTATCTAGAATTTTTACTCTGTTTGAAACTTGCATGTCATGTATGGCACGTATCATCCCATATACCCAGACGTCTTATTTGAAGAATTTTGCGAAAAACGTGGGGGTTTTAGTACAGGAATGCCAGGAAGGAACGCCTGGGTCATGCAGGGCAAAGTCCCGCCTTCCCATTCCCATAGGTGCCATTCATATTGTTACTTTCTGCCATTTGGGAATTTTTTTATATAATGTCCTAGAAAAGAAGCAATGACATCTTCTTTGTGGGCTTCATGATCAACTTATGCCCCTGGTAGGTGCATTTAATGGGCAACTTCATGATCAACTTATGCCCCTGGTAGGTGCATTTGAGGGCAACACATTATTTATGGGGAGGGGGGTTGGTAAATGGGAGGGGGGCAAACAAAGTTTTACCCTTATAAATAGGGGGTCAAAAAAATTTTAACCTAGAGAAAGGGGGAGGGTCAAAAAAGTTTTTGAACTTAAATACCATGTATAGAGTTCTGATTTCTATAATTGCAAATACCATAAACTCACAAATCATAATGCCAAAGAGGTAAAGACTCTGAAAATGCCATTTCCAATGATCCAGAGACTCAAAATTTCCCTGCTCAGTGCCAATCATGGTAGCCCCTCATGGGAGTCAGGCCCACTAAGTTTAACAAGCTTCCTACCCCCCTGAGTGACCCAGTGGTGGTATTATTTACACACCAAACTTTTTGTCACCAACAACCATCTGTCATATTTCCACACTCAGTGTAGTAAAGTTCCTTTCTGTAGATGCCCCCAGACAAGTTCTTAAAAAAAGCCCTGTGTTTAAATCATTTCGCTGTATGAAGATGGGCCATGGGTTATTGTAGATTAGGGGTAGGTTTTAGAGAGAAACAGTAGGACAAATGTTACATTGCAAAGTAGTAACACATAATATATATATTTCTTAATATATATTATTAATCGTATATAGTTGAATCATATTCACCACGGTAAAACATCATGAGCTAGACTAAACAGATTGTCCTAATATCTAACTTTACCTGCAACACCCACCTGTTTCATTGCTGTTAATTTTTCAATCCACACAGGGGAGGTCAGAAAAGTTTCTACTTCTATGAGGGGGGGGGGGGTGGGGGCACAAAAAGTTTGCCTTCAGTCTGGAAGAGGTCAAAAAGTTTTTAATCCCTTATTTTCCCCCTGCCCATAAATAATGACAACTCCTTTACACCAAGACATATCAAATTTCACTTTTCGTGCAAGCTACTGCCAAAGAATTGACTGAAATATTGCCAGTGTGTCAATAAAATAACACCCATTGGCTGAATGTTTAATTTAGCAGTAGTCACTTCGGCTTTTGGCAAATAATTGTCAAATAATGTAATATATACATACGATTTACCCTTTGCACATTTGCCCAGTCGAAATTTTGTTCTCATTTTAATATACAAATTATAAGCAAATATATTGTAAAATATTACCATTTCCAAATTCCTTCCGCACAAATCATACAATCTCGATCACAATGAATAGAAAAATTATCTTGAATGATGTTCCACAATTTTTTACAATTTGAAGACTTTGAAGACGCGAGGAAGAGCTTTGTGTTATAGACTATAGTATTTACGAATTTCGCACGTAATTATAACGACAATACATAAAAATATACTTAACAACAGTAACAAGCTTACATCCGGTCGGCTATAATTACACAACCAATCCGGACCTGGAGCTTTCCTGCCCACAGCCGCTAGTCGTTTTGTTGAAATTAGTGATAAAGGAATAAGCGAAATTAAAATGAATTATTCGCCTCTATTAAATGTAACTGACCATGAACTGGATATGCTAGTAATATCTGTGCAAAGAGAGAACAGTAATATTGGAATTCGAATGCTGAAAGGTTATCTTCACAGTAAAGGCCACAAAGTGTAAAGAGAAAGATTAAGACAGTCACTTTTAAGAACTGATCCTTCTGGAGCTGTTTAAAGGTGGAAGCAAACAGTGAAGAGATGAAAGTATAATGTGCATCCCGTTTGGCTCTGTGGCACATTGATGGACATCATAAATTGATACAGTATTGTTTCAATGGCTTCAATAAATATTGAGAAGCCAAATTAACATGCAATATAATAGTCATGGACATTATCTATGTCTACCATAAATTTATCAGGTGATATGTATAAAAGCATGTAACACTAAATGCTTATTGATGATAGGTCGCATTTACATTTTATACAGCACTATTTCTTGTGAACATCCATTTTATACTGCACTATTTCTTGTGAACAAAAATTATAGACCTCTTTCAAGACATCATAAATGCCGGATTGTATTGTTTCCTTCCAATTCAATTCAATTCAAAAACATTTATTTAAACATGATATAAAAATAAGCAGCAAATTGCTGATGTGGTTGTGTGTTTACCAGTATAGTAAAATCTATTTACATTATGCTATGTTAATATATATAGTTTATATATAAATTAAATATCGTAAGAATAATAATAGTAAGAATATATAGTAAGAATATGACTAGAAAAGTTTAAAAATAGATATAGTTCAGATCATTGTTTGTGTAGGAGGTAAAATCCATTGCCTCAAGATCTTGTTGCCGTATCAACATTTTAAAATTATTATGTTGTTCCTTGTTCTTAAGATTGGTCGGTAGTTTGTTCCACAATACTGCTCCACTAAATGTTACTGACTTATGCAGGAAGTTGGTTTCTGGTTTTGGAATTACCAACTTTTCTGATCCTCTTAAATTCTTATCTTTCTTTGTAATTTTATTCTGACAGAGTTGGTCTGGTGCCTCACGGTAACAACATTTGTGGACAGTGCTTAATACTCTTTGCTTATACGTACTGCTCAGTGTTTTCCAGCCAGTTTTATGTATCACTTCTTGGCTTGGTATGTCCCAATTCAACCTGTAGATTATACGTGCGGCTCTTGTGTGCAACCTTTCCAAGGCTTTGAAATGTGTTTTACCGCAGTTTCCCCAAACAAACCTTGAGAGGTTGATTGCCTTTTAGTATATGCAGGTTTGCTAAAGGTCGACAGTGAGATTGAAAATTATTGGAGTGTAAAAACCTTATATCATGGTCTGTGGGCAATAGACATAATTTCTCGGGTTAGGTACAAAGCGCTTATGGCGTTTGTGAATATGGATATATCCTGTACTAAAGACTACAGCAATAAACTACATCAACAACTGTACCAGCCGTCACAGAATATTGTTGTTGCAGACAAACGCACTGTCAAATCAAGAAATAGGTTGGGGGTTAGGCAGTTCATGAAAGCTAGATGACCTACTATGTGGGGAATAAATCTGTTGGTTGCTGCAGACAATCCTAATGCTTATATTGCGACTTTGAAATTTATACAGGAAGAAGTCCAGATATTCATCGCAACAGATTTGGGTATGACGTGGTGATCTGATATCAGTTTGGTTACAGTCTTAGGTCTTTTGTACTACAATATAAAGGAAATATTTTCACCACATAATCCAATTATGTGCTTTGGCAAACATTACTGCTTTGGCAAACATTACTGCCTTGGAAAACATTACTTTTTTATAACCACTAATTATGATGATGCCAGCCCAACAACACTTGGTCATGCTATTTGCAAATATTTTCATGTTCTAGATTGTGAAAACAATCAATTTCTAAACAAATGAGTAGTGATTATTTCAAATTTGAATAGCATGACAAAATTTTGAGGCTGGTTATGCCACTAATAACTAAAGTCAATGGTGTAATAATTATCTAAGAATGTATGTAATTGTAGAAATAAAGACATTTTGCTAATCATGATTTGAGTGTTCTTTTGTGGGTATCACAGACTTATTTTGGTGCCATACTATCTTTGGAGAGTAAGAAATATTGGAAATTTGTATTGATAACATGTTGCAGCAATAAAAAAGGACCTTCGATAAAGGTATTTGTTTCATGTGAGCACAAAATGTAAATTTTACTCCACTACCTAGTTTATATAAAAATTCAATAAAAATATTTCTATTTATGCTACATGCATGAAACTTCGGGTACTTGTAGATCATAACCGTGTCTTTCAGTCATATTCATAAAACTTTTTGACATATTTGAAATTTGAACCGCTAAAAAATACATTTATGCATAATTGCAACATTATTTTATATCATAATTTATGCAAATTTATGCGAGTAAATCGTTAACCAAGCTTCAGATGAAATTGAAGTCCTCCTCTTTCGAACGATGCAATTTCTGTTTCCGTGCGATGTATAGTTTGAGAGATATAAGCGTTTGAAACAACACCACTCGAAATTGCTACTTTTCGACCGGATGGGAATGAGTTAAAAAACTCCTCGACAACTCATGCCCTATTAAGCTTCGTTCATCATATGAAACTGATACATCAAAAACCGCTGTAAGGGTTTTTGGCTCGATTTTTCGAAAGCTTTCGATCTTATAGACCACAACATCCTACTGTACAAGTTATATGAAATGAAGGTACCAGCGACAATTACAAACTGGATTAGAAGTTTCCTTTTCGAATGCAAACAACACGTCAAGATAGCTAACTGTGTATCAAATTGGCAAACCTTAAACGGAGGTGTGCCACAAGGAACAGTTCTTGGGCCAATACTTTTTCTCGTTATGATAAACGACCTTCTCACAGACTGGAATAACAGATGGAAATACGTCAACAATAGTACTATCACTGAAAGTATTACACCGGATATCAATAGCATTCTCCAAGAACTTGTGGATACTATTTACAATTGGACCATTGTTAATAATATGAAACTGAACATCAGTAAATGCAAAGAATTGATAATAGACTTTGTAAAAGATAAACAGGAATTCCCACCTTTAATTATAAATGGCGTTGCTGTAGACCGTGTATCATCAGCTCGGGTTCTGGGACTCATTGTTCAGGATAATATGAATTGGAACGAACACGTAAACAATATTGTCAAAAAAGCAGGAAAAAGACTCTACATGCTGAGAGTGCTGAAACGATCAAACACGGATACGAACATGTTAATCACTGTATACACCACTATTATTAGGCCTGTCCTTGAATACGCCTGCCAAGTCTGGCATTTCAACATCCAAGAGTATTTGAGCGAAGACATTGAAAAGATTCAACAGTGTGCTTTGCGAATCTCGTTGCCATTAATGAGTTACAGAGAAGCCCGGAATCTTACTGGTATCCCTTTACTAAAAGCAAGGAGAGAAACATTATGTGAACACTTTTTTAAAAAGAATGAGAATAACGATAAACTAAGCGAACTATTGCATCATAAAGCAACAACAGACTATGATATGCAACCAAGATGCAAGTATAACAATTATCTATGTAGAACTGAACGTTTTAGGAAATCGTTTTTTCCTCAAATTATTTCCAAAGAAAACAGTAAATAACTGAGTAAAGTATAGGCCTATTGTTTTTTGCTACTTTTGAACTCTTAATATCCTTAATAATGTAATATAACGATAACTTAATACTTTTTAACAGTAGATACAAATTTTGTAAATTTCTGATGTAATTTAACCTATTGGTTACAAAATCAGTTTTAAATAAATTATTATTATTATTAGAACATTTACTGAAGGAGAACATTGCTAACCATTTCAAAAATCTTTAACTGAAGATGTGATAGTCTGTTTTGCACTGGCATATACATGAATCTCCAAATAATTCAACTAGGTTGTAGATTACATAATTCAATTTCATTATTTGGATATATAAAATTTATTAAGTTTGGGTAAGTAAAAGTACTCCAGAAAAAGTTTACTTTGTTACATGCCGACTTTTCAAAAATAGTACTCAAGTACTGTGCATGTTTTTTTTTAATAATATCGATTGTCTATTAATTATATATGGGATGTTAAAATGTTGTTATATGATCTTATATGGTACATTTACAGTCACAGGATTTAGAATTATGTTATGTTTAAAAGTTTGTTATTATGGTGCATTAGTCACAGGACATCTTAGAATTATAGGATTGCTATGGGACATTGTCCCCCTGCTCATTAAAAGACAGGGGTGTGGGGGACATTTCTCCTTGAAATGTTACGGTTTTGGCCTGTGATTTTTGTTGAATTATGACACAACCATTATTCACAGGGTTTTAAATTAGAGTGTTTCTAAATGATTGTGGAATATGAAACTTCACTGAAACTATGCCCTCTATGTGACTGACTTAGTCATGTGTGGTATGGGTGGGGGAGGGAATTTTTCAGGCCCAATATGCCCTTTAATACTATATACTGGTTCTGAAATACACATAGCTAAAACAGTCACAAAGTGGACAATGTGACAGGGGACATTACACTTCCCTACTTGTTAAACTATCACCTATAAACCTTTGTGGAAAAGTGGCAGTAATTTCAAAACTCAGACAATAACTCTTAAATAATCCATTCATCCATGACCATGTACGGTTTTAATACCTACATTTTTGGGTGTATAATATAGTGATAGTATAATGTACTTATATTTCTAGTAATGTAATAAAACTTACCATTCTTTCTTTCGCTGAAGTACTGTTGAACTACTTGAGTTGAATGGTTTAGTGTTTCATTTCAATTTTCAGTCCGTCATGTGTTATAAGTACACAATCATAATCCGTTGTGTTCCGATGTTTGGTCGAAAGCCACTGACACATAAAAGTTGAACATCTTGGTTAAACATCTTAATTTAAACTAATTTAAATTATCTTTCAGACTTCCATTATTTCATAGATACGAGTTATGAAGAGCTATTGATATGTATTGCTCACTCAGAATATGCACATATATTGCAAATATTTTATGATCTCTCTTCGGAGGAAACTAATTTTGCTGAAACAAAATGATAGCAGTATTACATTGATTAAATGACGTTTCCATGCTTTTCAAGTTCTATAAAATTGTGGTTAGTTTCGAAACGTTGTGTAATGAATGTAATGTCGCTATCACTTGTTTCTGCAAAATTATTTTCAAAAAAAGTTTTTGATTAAAACAGATTTTTGAGGAACCCACAAATCCCTTAACCTGGTTTATATATAGGATACACATGTAAGCATTCGTACATGAGAACATTCATATTCTTCATGATAAAATGTAACATTTTCATGCATGCGCGAAATTCAAATTTTCACTGACCGTTAATTGATAAAACAACAGTTATTTTACAAAGTAGAAATATGGCTGCAAATATCAAAACGATAATTGAGCAGTGATCTCAATTCACGCTTAAACTGCTTGATCGCAGGTACATTTCGGTCCAATTGGATCAGGTAAAATCGATGAATTGTACGATGAATATGTGGAGCAAGCCAACAATGATTGGGACAAAGAATTCAATATCGGCTGCTGTGTCATTTGCCAGTAAGACGGACTACAGACACGACGTCAGGCGTCCGACGGAGCTGAATTGGAACAAGTCCAACTCCTATAAGGAACTGCAAGATCAATGGTGCCTGGACTACATGCAGAGGTCAAGGGATTGCAGAGGGAGTGGTGTTGGTTGCTTTGTGCTTGCTGGAGTGCTTCGTGGTTGTGAGCCCCCTACCCGTGGTTGTGAGCCCCTACCCATGATTGTGAGCCCCTACCGCAGTGCATTCTCGTTGCACAAGATCAACTGCACAAGTACATAATTAATTCACTTCATGTGATTATATTGGATCGATTTAAATTAATTAATTATCGATAATATTTACCCTTTCAGATACGCACTACGCATTGAAGCGTTGTTTCCTGAATACCCAAGTGGGGATGGCTTGAACAGACTTTGTGTTGTCAGCACTGGAAGTTGGCTAGATCGAGACAGGGATGTCATTGTAGATGACCAGTCATTGTCTGCCTTGCTCTGGGGAAACATCGGAGCGAAGTCAGGCAGGCAGGCACGATGACTTACTGGGAACTCGCCAGAGATGTCGGTTGAGGATTCGACATGCAGGAGGTAAGGTCTAAAATTTTACTAATTGTCTACGAAATCTGTCAGAAATGTTGTAAGAAACAATTAATTAAACCTGTCTTTCAGGTTTGTCAAGAATTCGCTTGTCATCAACATTTCCCAGAGCAGACAATATGGCTGGAAGCCAGGATGACGCGCCTCCAGCAAGAGGTCAGAAATGAGGAACCAGCTGTACTTCTACTCAATGTCTTCGAAGTGGACCAGTACGGGTGCCTGCTGGCAGACGTCTGTGGTGCGAGAGTTGGCCAACACAGTCTAATTTTGCAACACTGGACGTTTGCAGAAGAGTGCATGGCAGCTGGATGGATGGGCACATACAACACCATTATACATACAGCGTCATCGTGTTGGCCAGGCTTTAGAGGTGGCACGAACAAACAGGATCGGCGCTTGGGGTCTGCAAACAGACGAAAGGCCATTCCAAGGTAAATAAAAATTCAGTTTGTTTCCATTGAGAATATTTAAATTATGAATAACTGTTAAAAAAGACAAATTCCATTAATTGCCAGACCATGTTAATTTTTAGGCCCTTACTTGTGCAAGAGACTGCATCATGAGCAGGCGAACAGGGAGAGCAGACGGTGAGAGTTCTGGATGCCGCAATGAAAAGGTAAGATTGTACAAGACATTAACATACAGCATGCTTTGAATTATCAAACAAGGAGACACTTGTTCAGTCATTTGATAACTCAGAAAGGATATACAGTAATATAATGACTCAATTCATTAAGAAAACAACTAACACTATCTATAATCACTATTTACTAGATATCAGATGTCGTCATTCGTTGTTCCTCTTCCTGAAGAGGCACAACACGTTGTATACAGTAAAACCCCAGTGTATAAAGGCCTAGACACACCGGACGCGATTCAACAACACGGCGCGATTTTTCGATTTTCAATGATTGATAACTTATTTGAGGGGGTGCCCACCCTTTGGTGAAGGTGAAATTCAAGGATTTTTCAAGGCCTGTTTTCAGTAAATTCAAGGACCTAGAACTGGGAAAATCTTTGAAAATGGCACGGATTTGCCTGGACTTCTACTGATTTTCAAGGACTTTCCAGTCCTGGAATTGTTTTTCCCAATTCAAGGACTTTCCAGGGTTTTCAAGGCCCATGGACACCCTGTTATTTGGTCTGTATATCTTTCAAAATTTCCTTTCATTGGCCGTTTTATTAACTTTCAAAAATTTTAAATCGTGCCGCGTTGTCGAATCGTGTCACTGTGAGTTGCGACCTTTCAGATGACTATTTTCTTTGATTCAAATACATTTTTTAGCCTAAACAGGCTCTTAAAGATAGGTCACAGTCGCATCTGCACATGTGGTGGACTTTTGTTTATGTGGGGGGACACAGGAAGTTGTCATCCTCTGTTTGTGCTCAGCCCAGTATCATTTCTGGCAATAACATGTGTGTTGTTTTTATCGCAAGTGAATTTAATATCCTGATGAGTGAAGAAGTTTCCAAATTATTTTGAGCTTTTTTCAGCGACAATCCGTCAAATAACGAGTTATTGAGGCACCATGACGAGTAGGAAAGAATACTATGCTAGCAGGGATGCTTCCAAAGTGTATAAAAGTGTATCTATTTTATTGTTTTCCTCGATGGAGAGCATGTGCCATTTCTAATTTTCTGCATCTGCCCATGATATACCTACATCCTCAAGTTTCTACCAAAGGTTTTCAAGAAAAGAATCCAAGAAGGATTGGAGATTGCTCCCAACATAGCTGCAATGTGGATCCTTCAGAGAAATCGCTTGTTGAAGCCCATCAATCAAGGTTTTAATAATGACTATAAAATTCTCTTCATTACACTATTTCACACGAACTGTTCTATCTATTTTATTTACAAACTAAACCCATAATATAATTATAAAGGCCTAAAGATATGATACTTGTGAGTAGCGAGTTAACACGATGGAAAAGTAATGAACAATTCGGAGTCAACATGTTTGGGACTTTTGGATGGCTATTTATATAGATGTGTTATTGTCAGAGTGATCTACTTGGCTGTGGCTGTGCTTTACTGTCTTAGTGTCTTTGACTGTCTGCTCATGGACAACTTGTGCTCACTTAAAACTTAATAGAAAGACATCAAAAAGTTTCTCCGATCAAAGTATATTTTAATTTGATCAAAGCACATAACATTTAAATGCTTTTAGTTGCTCTGAAGTTACAGTACTTGACCTAATGGAGTGTTTAATTAAATATATGGAGGCAAGCCAGCCAGGGTGCCTGAGCTAGCTCGCTTGGCCGAGATCTAATGTTGCTAGATAATTTATACTAATATTTGTATTGTGTGTAAATAAGAAGCAGGCTAGCTTGCCTAAGCGAGATCTTGTTTAATTTCTGAAGTCCGACAGAGCCCCAGATCTTGTCTAGGTGGGCTGGTTTGCCTAAGCTGCTGAATACGAATATATTATAGTAAATAAGACTTTCTCAACATATATTTTATCAATAATTTTAAAAATTAATGCCTCTGTGAACAATTGTGAAACAAAGCCACCTAGCTCAGGTAACCGGGCTGGCTTGCCTCCATATAAACACCCCTAAGACATATTTAGTTTATAAAAGATTTTGATAAAAAAAATTATGATGTAAACAAACTCAACTAATAATTACTACTATATTTTCCACCCTAATTGTAAGTAAAAGCTTGCATATAAGAACCTATATAAGAGTCTGTCAGGCTAATATTTTTATTTAGACACCCAATATAAGAATATGTTTAGGCTAGTATTTCAGGTTCTTATTTTATCACATGGAGAGACCAGTCAAATCTAAAAATGTATAAAAATCAAATCTTATCAGGGAATATATTCAATATTCCCCTCTAATCAATTTCTGTTTAATAATCTCCTCTAATATTCACCTGCAATGTATTTGCAGCACAAAAAAATCAGAAAAAACATCACGAAGGCAAGAGAATTATTTCTATTCTGACTCACTAACACGATATGTGTTTATTCGGGGATATGTGTTTATTCACCGGGTATGTGTTTATTCACCTCGGCGCTGTGTGCCTCGGTGAATAAATCACATATCCCCTTGTTGCCTCAAAATAACCTATACATATAGCTATAGATACTGGCATTTATAGATAATTTGTGCACAATTTATATACATGTAAATTATACCTCGCATACCAAAAATGAGTCGCTTTTCTTTAAGAACCTGTTTAACCTAATTTCCAAGCACTAATGATCATGTAGTCACCACATGTCTTGTCCAAAAGTGGGTTCTGGGGGTTTGAAATCAGAGCTTTCTTTCTCCTAGATGGATTGCCAGCCAAGGCTTATGAGCTCCATCTACACAAAGCAATCTGGGTTTAAGATGCCAGACAGTTGCCAGTTCATATTGTACTATAATTGCCTGATTTTGTGTCACAAAGAATGGCACCATCCCATAATATATGTTGCCAGAACAGGCTGAACAGGATGAAATTAGACAACACAGTAAAACCCTGCATATAAGTTAGCCTAAATTCCAAATTAGCCTAAACAGGTTCTTATGTAAATGATGCTTATCTGACTGTTGATGTTACAAACTGTAATTATATTTAGTAGCTATATTCAGTATTCTCAGGGGGGCATATAAAGCCCTTGAGTCACATATGTGCTTTTCCCCTTGGAGTTCTCTTTTAATGTCTATATATATATAATGTGTGTTAATAATTGTTTATAAATTATCACTGTCAATCTCTTGAATTGTTCTGTCATTTATACAGCATCCAAAATCATCTCCATAGATAGCGGGCACAAATTTGAACAAATTAGCTGTTTATCCAGCTTTTGCACGGTCAAAAATTCCCCCTTGGCTTTGCCACAAAGACAGGAACTGTAGCCACATCTGACAATCACACTTGATTCGAATTTGTCAAGCGAAAAGCTTTCCTCAAGTACTTCTGTCATTATTGCTGTCTCTGGCAACATGTTTTGATGGAGTGATACCGCATAAACTATATTCATGATTAGACACAAACTCCAAAGGCAAAGGTAAACACAAATTATTCAAACTCACAACTTTGGGATTCCGGTTCGCTGATCCAGCTGTCGAGCTATCAAGTCAAGGTTCAAAGTGGCCTCTTTATTCACGATTTTTAGATTAAAAAGTTACAGTAGTACAGTTACAATTGTGTTATTGTGCACAAAAATTTCCAGTGTACAAATGTACAAGAAATGTAGCGAAGTATTGTCAAACATTGCACTCCTCGGTCGCAAATTATGTGGAATGTTACCTTAACATGTTTTGAACTCATCATATACTTCATCTTATATAATTCATGTGGATCAAAATTCAAAACAAAAAATGTAAACAAAGCCTGTGCATGTGCAGAAGGGACAGTAACCTATCTTTAAAAAAAAATAGAAGTACAATTTTTCTTTTGTTAATTTCCCTCGATGTCTAACTAGGTGAGACTTGTGTATATAATTCTTGCCTTATAGAAGTGTTCAACGTTCATCATAAACAACGTCATAAATTTCAGCGACGGTAGAATGCAGCTCGTACGCCTGTTCTTTACTGTCATATACAATGTTTATTGGGTATATGGTAGAGTTAAAATTTTCCCCACCAACTGCGGTCTACAACTGCACGGTAGAACTTTTCTCTTCCTTCTACTTTACGGAATTCCAGTGAACCTTGTTTGCCTAAATTTTTACAACTCTTCCTACGAAGACCACACTGCATCCTCTGCGCACTTTGAGACACTGTCTACAAGACCAACCATAACGCTCACAGATGATTCACAAGGTCGAGGTTCTACAACCTTACTTGGCCACGAAGATTCTGCACAAGATTCCACCCGAGGCTTCTTGGAAGAGGTGGCTTCTGTTACACTTTGGTTAACCAAATCGAGACTTAAGAACGTCTGGTCTTGCCGCGAATATTACAATAAGTCATTTGTTGGTGTTTCAAAGAATGATGCATTAACACTGCCAAAAGCTCTCACACAGTCGGAGACTTTCTGCCACTGGTAATGACAACACATGTGTCACCAAGGCATGACGTAACGTTGTACCTGTACGAATGTGCACTTCTCTCTCAAACAGATCGCCCAAGTATAATTGTCACAAAGAAGATCTGTCCTTTTTCTAATGTATTCTTTCACATAAGGGACAAGCCACATTGAATCATCTATTTCAAATTTTGAGGGCCCATGACTTTGAAGATTTTTGAAATAATTTTTGTACAATGTGAATTTGCCAGCATCAGCAGATGTCACATTGCACTTAGTTTTCCAATCAAAATGAAATTCTTTTCCTTCCACGCATTCATTAAGGTACATATCTCGCACATGCTCGTAATGTACAAGAAGATCAGAACAAAATCATGTAGGATTTATGTATGTCTGGGAGAACTTCGATAGAGTCAACTTTCTCCTGCAAGCTTTTGATGGTGTCCAAAAGGTGTTGGAACATGAACGTTGATGTCTTATCACACAGACCGGCTTTAGTTGTGTAGGATGGTGACTTTGCTGGCGCTGTGACAACTGCCACTGTACATTCTTCAAACGTAGCAACTGGACGCAAGAGTTGACGTCCTCACTAGCTTGATTAATGTATTTAGCAAGATTTGTCAACACTGTTATTCTCCGTACAACAGTTGAAATGTTAAGCTCTCCTTCATCCAACTGATAGGTTGTATACGCTTGCACAACATCCATGTCATTAACAAAAGTGAAATCTAACTTTCATTCAGGGTATTTGATATGACAAAAGTTGAGAAAACATTTCACTCTCTCTAAAAATTTCCTCGTTGTTGAGGCTAAGAAGGCACTGCAAGTTCTTAATGGATTGACCGTTAAGGTGTAAAAGTCACTCAGCCCATCAAGTTCCAATTCAGGCCATGTGTGTTGCCCTCTTTAAGCATCCTATTTTAACAGATGAAGTTGCCTTGCAAGAATTTGAAAGGTCATCAGAACCTAGTACAGTTTTTAACTGAATTTGATAGTGGAATTTCATGGTAGTCTGCACACAGACTGTCCCCCCCGTGGTGGAAGGATAACAGTCTGCGACCATTTGTCACTAATGCTGTACAGTCAGTGATGTAGTCATATAAATAGATATAATATTGTGCACTTCAGCACTTTAGTGGCTTTCTAATTTTATTATCCAATCAGATGCATTACTTTAAATAGAACTTATATTATGTAAAGAAGGACAATAGACAAGGTCAAGCAAAACAATACAACGAAATCGAAACATATGCCGGATTTGTAAATTGTACCCAATGTATTCATCCCAAAAAATTAAATACTCTTTTGTTTGGCAATGTCTGCCCCAACAGCACCCAGAAACTTTATGTAATCGGTAAAACCGGTATACTCGTCTCGAAATTAGCTAAGCAAATTTATGCAAGTATAATTTTGAAATGAACCAATGAAAAACTGCCGATCATATTTCGCCGGTAGCTGTACAGCATTATCGTTGAATGACAGCAGACTGTAATCCCATGGGGGAGGGGGATGCAGTCTGCGAGCAGACTAATTTCATGGCTGATTGCATCAGACAGATTGTACTCGTTTGCATCAGGTAAATTGTTGGAAAATTTGTCAGTGCCAGCAATTTGAAACGTCATCCGTAATTGTACTGTAATTAAATGAATTTGATTGTGCAATTTCGTGGCTGGTTGCATCATCCAGGAAAGCATCCAGTAAAACTATTTTGGACACTGGAACATGCAAATTGGACGGAGTTGCGTTTGAACGTATTAGAAAGCTCTCCAATAGTCATACAGGAATTAATGGGTGGAAGGCAAACATTCACAATCGATGATGCAGACTCAGCACTTAATTGTGAGGGGTGTTTCTTCTGATACTTTAGTCTGGTTCTTGAATGTTGGATGAGTTGAAGCAAATTATCTGCTGAAATCGGAAATCTGTATGGCATTAGTCCAAGCACATTCAAATGCGGACGTTCCAATGAATTTGTTCTGATGGCAGATGTTCCAATTTTTCGCAACCAACGCCCCACAGTCGATTGAGGAACTTTGGGAAAGAAAGTTTCTAAAATTTGTTGGAAGACATGATAGCTCTGGTCATTCCTTTTGAAGACAATTAATGATTTTGTTCGTGGAAGTTCACCTAAAAAAATTCGAGCACTATTACAATGCAAAACACCCATTTTCTAACATGCGGACACCTAAGTGCCAAGCTAACTTTACTGTAGAATACTTAGAGCAAACACACAGCAGGCATGTACTGAAATTTCGAGCACAAAACTGAAATTTAAGTAGATGCTCGCGATCTGTAAAACTAGCTATACTAAAATAGGGTTAGGGTTAATTTTTTCTATTAATATGATATGTTCATGAACTTAACGTTATCTAATTCAAAAATACATTCACACAACCGTAAAATATATTAGTTGAATTGCAATCTTCCACAAAAACATGTTGACATATTATTCTAAATCATTTACACGGTGAGCCCAAAATTCTTTTCCGTCTTGTCACTCTGGTGTACGAGACACAATATGTAATGTAACCTTGGATTTTTAAGGTAGAAATTTTAAAGAATAGAAGGATGAAACTCCCGCAAAAAGTCTAAAAATAATCGTCTATAAGGCATGTGAGGAGTATAGTTATATATTTTAAGTTTAAGCAGAAACCGTTATTTTTCTAATTCATGATTTTGTAGCAAAAATCCAATTTGTACTTTAGTTGCTAATGAAATCAAAGTCTGTTTTGACTGAAAATACTCTTAAAGCTTGCATTTGACAATGAAAAGTATGCTTTATTTAATCTGTAATTGATAATATTTTGCTAACATATTCTTTCTTTGACCGATTTGCGTTGGTACAGAAAGTGTGTACTGATGGGAGTCTGGTAGTAGTGATGTAATCTCGCTTCCATATCCAACAAACTAAAATAACATTCCCACAAATTATTGAATCTCTTCTTTCAATACGGTCTGCTAATTTATTGATTTGTTTTAATTCATGTTTAGGGACATGGAAAATTTAAAATTCATCTTAAGAGGGGAGGTGAAACTGTATTGTTTCATCGAAGTGTGTGACAAGCTTTTCCATTCATTCTCAAGACGTACAGTTAGATCCTGGCTCAAACAGCCAAACATCATGACAATATTTGCCATGTTGGAAAAAAGATGTGCTTTCAAAGCATTAAATCCGAAGCTGAAATCGATGGTTTTTGGACTTTTGCATCAAAACAATCTCAATCTTTTAGTTAACGATAGCATACACAAACACAGTAAGAAGAGATTCGCGATATTATAATGAATTCATCGAATGCTACTTGTAAATTAGATCCTATTCCAACTTGGTTAGTGAAATTATGCGTTGATGAACTGAAAACTGTAATCACGAAAATTATTAATATGTCACTACAAGATGGTTATGTTCCTGAAGCATGGAAAGTTGCTCTTCTGCTACCTATATTAAAGAAACTTGTTCTTGAAGGTTTATTTGAAAATTTTAGACCTGTAAATAACCTCTCATTTGTGTCAAAAATTGCAGAAAAAGCAGTTGTTGGTCAGATACTTAACCATTGTGAAAATAATGTGCCTTTTCCTACTAACCAATCAGCTTATCGCCCATTTCACTCAACTGAGACGGCCTTGTTAACATTCAAAACGATATTTTAACAAGCAAGGATCAACAAGAGGTAATGCTACTTGCACTACTTGACCTGAGTGCGGCCTTTGATACGGTGGACCACATAATCATGTTAGAAATATTAAAATCAAATTGTGGTGTCAGCAGTGTCATAATTATGTTAATTTATGATAAGCACATGATCATGGTTAAAGATTGCTGTTGAACATGGCGACGTGTGTAGTGTATAATATGACATGGTGTCAGGAGTAAAAATAAAAAAACACACTAAAATGGAAACGTTTAAGTCTCCGAGTGCATTGAATTTGACGGGAAACTTGCGAGAGAACTGGAGGTGATGGATTCAGCGATTCGAGTTGTTTTTGACCGCGTCAGGGAAAGTCAAAGAAACGGAAAAAGTCCAGTGTGCAATTTTACTTCATCTCATCGGTGATGAAGCCCTCGAAATCTACAACACGTTTACGTTTGGCGAGGGCAAGGATCGTGATAAGTTGAACGTGTTGGAGAAGAAATTTGAAGATTATGTAAATCCTCGAAAGAATACTGTATTTGAACGATATAAATTCTGGGAATGCAAACAAAAAGGTGAAACAATCGACCAATTTATAACGGAGTTGAAAACACGAGCTAAGTCATGTGAATTTGGTGATCAAACAGACAGCATGATTTGAGATCGTATAGTATTTGGGGTGGGTGATATTCGATTAAAAGAACGATTGCTTCGTGAATCGTCTGAACTCACTCTTGAAAAAGCTGCAAGTTTGTGCCGAGCGGTGGAAGAAAGTGCGAAACAGCTCAAAGAGCTTCGGAAGCAAAATGTTGATCCAAGTGAACCGGAAGTTCATGTCGTAAAGAAACCCACTCGAGGTGAGTCGCTATTTGATTGTAATAGATGTGGAACTAAGCATGCAGTAAGATCTTGCCCTGCATTTGGAAAACCTTGCCACAAATGTAAAAGAAAAAATCACTCCGCACGAATGTGTCAAATGTCAAGAAATTCTTCTGTTGATGAAGTGTCAGAAAATACTGGGGAAGCTAACACTAGAAATGACCCAACACTCAAGTTAAATAGTTTATTTATTGGGACCATAACTAGCCGCACAACAAGTTCTGCGGTTTGTGAGTGTGGGTATAAATGGAACACAAGTTCGATTTAAACTTGACACTGGAGCTGAAGCCAATGTGTTGCCATTTAATGTGTATTCAAGTCTAAAGATTAGTACATCCCTGCAGAAAACTGATGTGGTTTTAACCTCATATGGGAATTTTAATGTCAAACCGGAGGGGAAAGTTTTCCTGAGATGTGTCGTCAATGGTCAGTCTGAAATGCTACCATTCTTTGTTGTTACTGTCCAGTCAACCCCAATACTAGGTCTGCAGGCGGCATGTAAGAAATTAAACCTGGTCAAGAAAGTTAATGAAGTGGCCCCATCACCCTCCACTAAAGAACACATTCATGATTACCCAGAGGTGTTTGAAGGGCTTGGCTCCATGGATGGAGAATATCATATCGTTGTTGACAAGACTGTCAAGCCTGTCATCCACCCACCACGAAAGGTTCCCTACAGCATACTGGGAAAGTTAAAAGAGAAATTTTGGAACTTGAAAAAATTGGTGTTGTGCAGAAAGTTGACAAACCGACTCCATGGGTTAACAGTCTTGTCATAGTCTAGAAACGTGATGGGTCTCTGCGGTTATGTTTGGATCCCCGTGATCTGAATAAGGCTATTCAACGGGAGCATCATAGAATTCCCACAGCAGAGGATATTGCCACTCGCCTTAGTGGTAAGAAGTTATTTTCCATAGTGGATGAAAAAGATGGGTTTTGGCAGATCCACCTAGATGAAGAAAGTTCCCATCTCTGCACCTTCAATACACCCTTTGGTCGCTTCCGCTTCACGAGATTACCATTTGGTGTGTGTTCAGCCCCTGAAGTGTTTCAGAAGAAGAATGAAGCATTGTTTGGTGATATTGATGGTGTCGAGGTGATATTTGATGACATAATTGTGGCAGCGCGGGATGAAAAAGAGCATGATGAAATTATGGCAAAGCTGTTGGAAAGAGAAAAAGCAGAAAATGTTAAATTCAATCCAGAAAAGCTTCAGTACAAAGTCAAAGAAGTGAAGTACATGGGTAACATTGTATCTGAATCGGGTTTGAAGCCAGATAGCGAGAAAGTTCGTGCAATCCTGGACATGCCCTTACCTAAGTCAAAGGAAGAATTGCAAAGATTCCTTGGAATGATCAATTTTTTCTCTAAGTTTATTCCAGGTCAATCGAGTATTACTGACCCTCTACGGCAGTTGTTAAAGAAAGATTCAGTTTGGGACTGGTCCCATGAACACACTGGTGCAGTAGAGCAACTGAAACAGATCCTCTCAAGTCAGCCTGTCCTGAAATTTTTTGACTCAGCAAAGCCAGTCAAGTTGCAAGTTGATGCTTTGAAAGGTGGCCTTGGAGCTTGCCTTCTACAAGACGGACATCCTGTTGCATATGCATCCCGGTCACTGAGCTCTGCTAAGGAGAACTATGTGCAAATTGAAAAGGAGTTAACTGCAGTTGTCTTCGGATGTGAAAAATTTCACTGTTATGTTTATGGTAAACCGATTGATATACAATCTTTGACAATATAGATTGGGACAATCTAGTTTTCACATGCATTCGGTTGTAATATACCATTTGCTGATACATATTTTCCACCCTCTCTCCCCCACCCGTTTCAATGTTGGCGCCGCGCATCCAGACATCAGATTTTTGTTGGCCCAACATTGAACTGGGGGAACGGGGGGCGCTATTCCTTTCAAAATATATGAAATTACAGCAGCTGTCCCATAGTTTCTGGCAAAGATTGTCTTGGTGGTGACCAATTGTGTTTGAAATTTGGTAATTAAACGTTTTAGTTTTAAGTTTATACCGCCCAATTACATATATTCCAGTATCGAAGCATATGTGGGCAAGTTTTGGTAGTTTTAGATACTATCCATTCATTCGGGGGGGGGGGTTGTGTTATTTTTAACACTTTACATACCAATACAGGTACGTGTGCTACTAGCTATAATGCTTAATAAGCACATTTATATTCACGTCTAATATCATCATAGCTCTCTTCCTTGTGAAAAATCCGCGGAAATTTACTCAAAAGTTACTT